AGTGTGAGGTGTCAATGCTCACTGGGTCATATGTCTTAGACCAGTTCCAGATTAGTTTGCTATTAATATCTTCTGCATCGCAGTTCGCGATAGATTCCTAAATATGGGTTCTCTTTTCCGACCATAATAGTGTGAGGGAAGGGGGTGAGTTCTGGATCAACAATGGAAGGGGGCCCATCGGTTTTTGTGGGCAAACCGTCCAAAGCCCATTCCTCACAGATCGGGGGCTGCTCACGCAGACCAACACCATCTTCGTGTAGGTGGAAGTTTTCCCTATCCGATGATGGTGTTGGTTTGCGTGGGTGGCCTTCGCTTTGTGAGTGGGGGGCTTTGGAGCGGTTTGTTTACAAATGCTGATGGGCCCTTTTCTATTGTTGATCCAGAGTTAAACGTTCGATATGAGAGCGACTAGGGCAAATAAATAGGGAAGACAACACCATGACCCAAATAAGTAACCAATGCATGCGGCTCACACTTAACTTGTTCTATTTCTTTCTTTCTTCCTATCATGTACTAATATTAACTGCCTGAGGACAAATGGGAACACGACCAGAAACCAGAAACGAACAAGAAAAGAAGAATTAAACTTGCACCGGCAAGAGGAAGCAGACAGAAAGGATCATGCCGGTTGGAGACAGCCAATGTATACTGGACGAAGCTTGTATCTAGGAAAAGTTGTATGTGCAGGAAACCGTAAGTAGGATAAGAATCGTAAAAGGTGTGTGCTTGCTTGATAAGATCCTAACTTTACTTTAAATACACGGTAGGAATCGAATATCCATTTATGATTAAGGTTTTGCCCATTTGTCAGTGGGAGTGGCAATACTCATTGATGAGTGATTTATCGTACCCATTTATTAGTAACTGTTTGCAGCTAATGATTAATTGATTTACCTATTTTAGAATTACCTATACTTCACATCAGAACCTCATTTCCTTCAATTACTACTCCGTCGCAGCACACACCTTATATGGATCGCTAACCTTTATTTAGTTTCAGCATTTTCGACATTATAATCAAAAGGTGAGTTTTAAAAGTATAATTACCATGCATATAGATAAGTTAATGTACCAGAACCTGGACGGACACGAGCCTACCCAGGGGAGGACCCGGATACGACCACCCATGTGTGTCTAGAGTATCGCACGAGCTGACGAGTGCAACGGGAAGGACAGTAGGTGTATAGACTAGGGGGTTGGTCCCTAGATAAGCCTTCTTAGCGGAAGGCACAGCCTATGCACTGAACAATTACAATTACAATTACAATTACAACATATACAAACATCGATCGAAATAAGCATATTTATTGAAATCCAGTGAGAATTGACGAAATGCAACGCACGTATTAATGATAAAAGATAAATATTTCAGAAATTTGGGAAAATAATACATTCAGGGTAATGGAATTCGAGATAACTGGTCATTCGGGGTAAAGGAATTCGGGGTGGTGGGTCATTCAGGGTAATGGAATTCGGGGTAGTCGCATTCGGGGATATGTCAGAGCGTAGACAATTGTTCCAAAAAAAAACCCTATATTCAATATTTCAATCTTTTACTTTTCAAATTTTGGTTGGCATTCGTTCTAATGACCATACATCTTGGGTGATTCATCCAGGTTGATATTTTTAATGAATTATACGAAGTGAAGGATTTATTTTTGTGAGACCCTACCACGCAATGATCAAAGGGGATACCTTAGTACTCAATGTTGTGCAAAGTATTGTTGAAAATAAGCTGAAAAACCACAAATGGGACAATACAGAATCTATCTTTTCTTCTTCAGGGATATTACAGTAAAGTTTCAATGGTTAGTTCAACATAGTTCAATGAACTAAGTTGGATAAAATATTAAGGGCATACAAAGGGTGTTCAACAAAGTTATTATTTATTGAACAACTTTTTTGAAAACTGCAATGAAGTTGATTAAACATATTCAGACACTTCAGCATAAATTCTAAAATTCATGAAAAAATTGGATGATTTTGATTTTAACTGAAATACATAGGATGAAAAAAATTTCTCTACTTTTTTTTGCGTGGAACTATGTATTTGTTGTTTTCATTATATGCTTTTAAATATAAATATTTTTTCCTCCTGCTGCTTTTCATAGCCAATACAATATGTTACAGTATTGCATTGGACAAATTTCAGAAAATTGTTTCGTTTAGCTGTAGTATTTTAAAGAGAAATTAGCAATTCGGCCGCTCACTGTCGAATTTAAATGTTTGGAATATAGCGTTCAGAATTAAATATAAAGGCGTAACTGCGATGATCGATTCTCTTAATCGATTTTCTCTTTCGTTACTAACTTGGGTGCAAAACCGTTTCTTGTCGTGTTTGTCGTATTATAAGCTAGATAATAACTGCTAACATGAAGCTTTAGTGTGATGATTTATTAGCTAGAGAATGATCTTTAGAAGAGGGTAGGTGGATAGTTCCGCGATAATAACTTCTTTCAACGACTTGTGTGCTGAAAATACCTGGGAATGTCTTAACATGGCCGTGAGGATTCAAAGAGATAGTCGACGTAAAGAGATCTGTCAATGTTAAATAGGACCTAATATATTGTTTAGCTGGATATTCATTTCAAGATCAACAATTGAAAAGGCCTCATCAGCTTGACGGAAATGAGACGATAAAATTTGGAGGTGTTTTTCACCCATTAGGGGGTAAAAAATATACCCATTATACAACCGTGAACTGATTCTTTAAATGGGTATTTTTTACCCATTTTATGATTTCACAATTCCCCCACTTTTTTTGGCAACTGCATACATGATTTGAAAATGGATATTTTTGACCCATTAATGGGTTCTCGCGAAACACCGTGTGAGTCAGGAGTGCTCGACCCCCATGACTCTATCAAAGTTTGTTTATATAGGGGCGGTTGATAAACTACGTAGACCGTTTATGGGAGGGGGGGGGGGTTGCTATTATCCACAGCCCATAAAAATCTAAAAAAAAATGTATGGATTATTGTCTACGCATGGGGATGGGGGGGGGGTCAAGAATCCCAAAAAAAAACGTCTACGTAGTTAATGAACAGCCCCATACATGTTTCGATAAGGTATGTTTAACTGTAATTGAAAACTCAGCTGAATCATAAAAACTATGATGTTTTTTATACTTTAATCACTGATCCTGTTGATTTTTTTTTTATATTTGAGCTTAAAATTAAGAATGTGTTATGAAAAAGTATAGATCATTTTTATGAGATTACAATGCTACATGATAGATAAGAACAGTAACTAAATTTGCTGCTTCTGAATGTTTGGCTCCCGCTTGACAGTTCACACTGGCTCCCGAGTAACAAGCACCTTGAGTGAGTCCACAGTATTCAGGTGTGTATACCTCAGCAAATTGAGTCCAGACCCATTGGGGCGAGAAGCAGTCACGCTTACCACTACACCACCGGCGCCGGCACCCGTTATTTCACTAAGCTCCCCGGAATTCCTCTTAGAACCTTGCAGTTTGAAGTTAGCTTGGTTAGCGAATAAAGAATCTGAGAAGAAGAATTAAAAAAAGCCAGATGTCCTCAATGACCATAAATTGACCTTACCGAAAACGGTTAAAAATTGTTTATAATCCCTGCTAAACTTCAACTGAAATGGTTATGGAACTTTACAAGAACGTTTAATCATAAAGTTTTAACCTTATGTATTATGGTTTTTTGGAAGCGGACCTTACAAATAATGAGTTGTTAAGAACCATTACCGTTCAAAATTCTTGTTTTCTACATATATTTTCGGGAGGAGGACTATATTAGAACCTTTTAACTTATGGTTTGAGAACATTAATGGTAATGGCTATGGTAGTCAGTAAGGTCCATGAATAGTTTTGTAACATCGATCAACTTTATGTGATATATTCGAATTGGTTGCCTGTAAATTACTGATTACCAATTCACGATATATTCCACGTAAAGTTGAGCGATAATACAAAACCATTCATGGACCTTACTGACTATCATAACCATAACCATTAATGTTCTCAAACCATAAGTAAAAACGTTCTAATATAGTTCTCTTTTCGAAAATGTATGGAGAAAACAAGAATTTTGAATGGTAATGGTTCTTAACAACCCATTATTTGTGAGGTCCGCTTTCAAAAAACAATAATACATAAGGTTAAAACTTTATCACACAAACGTTCATGTAAAGTTCCATAATCATTTCAGTTAAAGTTTAGGGGGGATTATAAACAATTTATAATTATTATCGGTAAGGTCAAGTTATGGTTCGCGTTTATGCGGGGGGCCAAAGGGCTTATTGGTGTTAGTGAAATGTGCAAATGTTTAGTGGTGTTCGTATTTTATTGCAATGTTTATCTTTTTACACGAAACAGCTGTCGGCAGTGACGTATTTCTATCTGTTCTCAGTATGTTGGCAGTGACGTATTTCTATCTGTTCGCAGAGGTTACAACATTTTTGCTTCTAACACCAGCAAGCTGTCTGTTGGTCCAGACCTTATACAAATGTCATTGAGATGTCCTGTCTTGTCATAGGCTTGATTGGCTGTCCACATAACAGAATTATTGTCAATAATGTTATGTCAATATTATCAACAATATTTTCGGAGTGTCGGTCCTCATTAAAATCATAGAGGTAACTCAACATATGTTGTCTTCGTTAAAATATATGTATCCGATGGAATATTCTGAGTCAAATCACAACCTTCTTGACAAAAATTGCCGAGAAACACCTGCTGTTGTAGTCAAACAGATGGGGGAAATGAGAGGAAATATAGAAACATGAAACCAAATTTTCTGGATCTTGCGTCAATATTGACATCAATACTTTCGTCATCATTATTTGCATCAATTACTGACAGTATCTTTTGAGTATGGATAATATTTCTACCCCTGATTTCCAATTTTTAATAAAAAAATAGTTCATCCGAACAGAAATTCAACATGCGCCTCGAAAAAATGTAATTACAGAACACATCTACTGTTGTTGAAACCGACTAATATCGTTGTTGATTTTTTCACTATTTCCAGAAACCAGTAACAGTTATGAATAAACAAACGGATTGCTACTAAAACGTGTAAGTGCTGTAAACAAAGCTGTCTCCAAAGAGCAGATACTTCCAGCAAACTCGCCACGATCGCAAACACAACAAACAAAGCTCCATTCAACAAGCATTAACCCGCAGTCTCCGCTAGCTTGCATGTATGAATAACATCAATGCTTCCGTTAGAAGCGAACCTAAGATGTGACTGAAGACAAACATAAGACGGAGAGCCTGTGACAGAACGTAGCAAAGCCGCAAACTGAACGGAGAATGCAAGTGCACTTTTTGCCTCACCAAAACCAGCAACAACTATGTACTTAGCAAACAGCAATGCACTACTCTTGACGGGGCATCGATCCTCGGAAAGGCATTCGCTTCGAGTGGTCACATTTTCGAACACTAGTTTACTGTATAACAGTTAACACATAGCGTATTCTCCCACATTCGCCGCCGGCTGCGAGTCTGCAGCCAAAGGAAGCAACAACAAAAAAAAACACGCAGAGAGCCGAGTGAGACTGAATGGTTTTAATATAAAACCGTTTCTTGGATACTATTTCAACATCGCAGCAGCTGAGCCTGCTCAGTTATGTTTTTTCTCTGCTCGAGTGAGGTGCAAATTCCGAAAGCGGCAGTTCCGGCGAATAGCATATGCGGATCGTGTTTGTGAGGCTGTTAATCAAAAGTGAATTTTTGAACGCATAGCGAAGAACGAAACGAAACTTGTTTTGGTGATTTACGGAATTGGATTTGGCGAAGAGATTTGAATGCTATTCAACTTGTGTGTAAAAGTGGAAATTTTTGGCCTCTCCGCAGATTCTTGTTTCGTGATTTGCTGAAACGGTCCAATTAAGTAGTTAATTCCGGCGGATGCGGGTTGTGGATAAAGACTGCTCGCTTTCAGTGCTTCCTTTACAAGTAATATGATGTCTGTGAAGTCGAAATTGTGTGTTACCCAAAAACAAAGCAGCTAAAAAGAAAAAAGATTCGTATGATCTGGGCAAGATTAAAGCAAAACTAAATTGATTGAGGCCAAGTGTGTACACCGTTGGGAAATAGTGCTCAGGAAATTTGTGTGAAATTGTGTCTGACAGTGAAGGGAGAAACGAGACCATTCGAAACGCATTGTACCGATTTTTGGTCATTGTTCCGTTCGAAACACAACAGCGACAGTAAAAGCAACCGTCCATTAACATGAATCCGCTCAATTCCGTGATGCTGTCAACGGTGGAGATGTCGAATCTACTTCCACTGGCAGCCATCGTCGTTTGTGTTGGGGCCATGATCATGTTTCTTGCCAAGTAAGTAGGACACCGAAGTTGATACGTACTGGAGAAAACAAAACAAAAACATGCATTTATGGAACGATATCACTAGCGCGTGCAGCAGGGGTGGCAAACAATTGTCATTCTGATCCCGTTAGTTATTTTGTTCATGGTAGCTGTTCGTTGGGCCTTTGGAGCGCCTTAAATTGAAACGCATGGGTTTTACAAGTCTAAGAGTAATATAGAGCGAGTTTGGGTACCCTTGCACCCCCTTCCTCTTAAATGCACGCTACTGTTTATTGAAAATATTCAATTTTTGTGTTGCATGAGCTACAGATTTCAGAAACAGTTTCTGTAGATTGAAACTCTCTTCAGCTCGATTTTGAAGAAATTATTGTCTAGAAGTAAAGAGCAGCAATGAAAACCACTTTTCCTTCAACTTAGTCAAAGGATAAAAAAGAGTTATCATGTCATGTAGATGTTTTGTTATACATTGAATAATATCGGGCATTTGATCACGCAGATATGACCAAAAAAGTAAAATTTTCCGGATAAAAAATATTATAAGTAAACCATAAAAAACATGTATTATGAACTATGCGGTTAACAATTTATCTAATGGTTAATTTACCTTATAAGAGACAAAACCCAGTTTCGATTACAATAGATCGAACATTATGTATACAATTAATATTGCAGCATTTTCCACACAAAACAGTAAATTAAATGTATTTTGTTTTTGGTTCCATACATAAAGACAAATGAGCCACAAAATTGTTCAGAAAATAATATAATAATTTTGGATCGTAATGATACCTAATGATGCATGGATTTTTTTGTTAAACCCTTATTTACCGAAAATTTTGTCGTACAAAACAATATATTTTATTGTATTTTTATTTGTATTAGCCATTGGCTGTATAGTGTGCCGAAGGTGGGAATGCGTAATCTCATGCTGTAGAGCAGATCAAGAATTTGACCAGTAGTAAGAGTATCACACATTCTGCTGTTTGATTTCTTTGCCTTACGTGACCTCAGGTGTGACACTGGCGGGTTTTGCCGTAATTTACTCTTATGCAGAAATAGCTAGTAGCAATCTTAAACACTTTAATCAAATAACTAAAGTAAACGACAAAAAGGCCCTATAACTAGAGCCCTACAAGAGAGAAACGCGAAGACAAATAAAATAACTGACAACATAACGATCTTTTGACGTAGAACTACGTCTTTGTCGACTATACTGGGGTGCAAGTCAAAAAATATGTGTGGTGAAGGAGTGTTAGGTTTTGAACGCTTGTAACTTTGTCATTTATAGATGAAATTAAAATCCAAATACGCCAATCGATAGGATATTACATAACGAACCTGTTGAAATAAATATTTGTTCAATTTTTCTGTAATTAAACTTTTGAAAATGTACAAATGATAATTTTATCACTGATTTCATGAAATAAGCCTTTTTTCCCAAACCCAGTCATCATAAACGAATACCACTTGGTTGCACATCATTCTGCTTGAACCTGAAAAGATATAAATCAGCGCTGCTCTCATGCCACTGCTCATCACTCTTTGCTCGACTGTTGAGCTGTTCAGTTCGTTTTCTTTTTCGCTCGAGTTCTCGCTTCGATTCGGTTTGTGCTGTCGCGTTGCGCCGTGGAAGCGTCGCCACCTTCGCGCGTTCTGGCAAGTTTACTGCAACTTGCCAACACGAAACAAATGGTGCGTAAACGTACCAATGATTCAGCAGCGGGCCCTTCAAAGAAGGTGGTAATCCAGCACAGCGCGTCGCAGGATGACGCCGGAAAACGGGTACTGCAAGCCAACCAGTTTGCGGTGCTCCCCGAAGAAAATGGCGATGGTGACGTCGTTCCCATCGCTGCAAGAGAGCGGATTCCCCCGCTTTTCACGCCGGAGAAGGATGTTGCCAAGCTGCGTGCCGAACTGGCAAAACACAAGCTGCTGCCTCGCTTCAAGCTTTGCAGCATCGGCACCAAAATCATGTGCTCCAGCCTGGAGGAGTACAATCAAACAGGATTTTTCCTAAAGGAAAACAACGTTGACTTCTTCACGCACGATCTGCCATCGAGCAAGCCACTGAAGCTGGTATTGCGTGGATTACCGTCGTTCGAGGCGGCTGTGGTTAAATCCGAGCTGGAGCGGCTTGGGCTCAAACCTGAGGCGGTGTTCCCAATAAACCGGCGTTCCAACCACAACACCAGCTTCCGTGACCAGTTGTTCCTGGTGCACTTCACGAAGGGATCCACCAGTCTAGCGGCTCTGAGATCCAAAATCCGGGACCTGTTTCAGGTCATCATCAGTTGGGAGCATTACAAATCCCAACATCGTGATGTTACGCAGTGTATGAACTGCCTCTCCTACGGCCATGGCACCAAAAACTGCCATATGAAGACTATCTGCGGCAAGTGTGCTGGAACTCACTCGACTGCGTCCTGTGAGCAAGATGATGACATCGAGCCAACGTGTGTCAACTGCGGTGGTAACCACCAAGCCTCCAATCGCGGATGTCCCAAGCGAGTCGAGTTCATCAATATCCGTCGGAAGGCTACGATCAATAACCAGCCCGGTCGCCTCCGTAATCATCGTTCGCCTCCTGCACACACGGAAGTCCAGTACCCAGCTCTCCAGCCCCGTCGACATGTTCCGAACTTAGAACCACTTCCGCTCAACAACCAACAAGTCAAGCATGTGAGTATTCCTAACAATCGAACAGTCCAGCATCGTCTCGCTGCTGCTGCTGCCCAGCCAATGCCAGGTCCCTCCACCGCCCCTGGTTTATCATACGCTGGTGTTGTCTCAGGTGAGCCTGTTGACGATTCTCCGTTCACCTCGGAGGAACTTGTGACGCTCGTGGCCGAGGTCATCATCATCTTGCGCACCTGCAAGACTCGATCTGAACAGCTTCATGCTGCCCTGTCCCTTGTCACTAAGTATGGACCGTGAAGCCATCAAGATCGTAAATTGGAACGCTTGCTCCTTGAAGAGCAAAAACATCGAGTTTGTTGAGTTTCTCAATGAACGAAACATCGACATTGCCATTATAACTGAAACCCACCTGAAGCCTGAAACAAACGTCTACCTTCCCGATTTCCGGCTCGTGAGGCTAGATCGAACCAACTCTGGAGGAGGAGGAGTGGCTATTGCAATAAGGAGAAACATCTGCTGTCGACTGATGCCCAGCTTTCAGCTGAAGATCATCGAAGCCGTAGGGGTGGAAGTTTCTACTCCTATCGGCCCCATCACCATCGTCGCGGCTTACTGCCCCAAACAAGTCAACATCAGGGATGGATCGGCAGCAGATCTGCGACGAGATATTATCAAGCTAACACGACGACGGGAAAACTTTATCATCGCTGGCGACCTGAACGCCAAACATCAAGCTTGGGGCAACAATCGGCGCAATCAAAACGGCACCATCCTGAACAACGACCTGCAGGAAGCGCAGTACAACATCTTGAGTCCGGAAACTCCCACCCGGTTGAGTCGGTCCGGTGTTCACGCTACCATCGATATATTCATCAGCAACATGGGCAACAACATCGCTCAACCTATCACCTATCAGGAACTCAGCTCGGACCACTACCCGGTGGTGACTGAGGTGGGATCCTCCGTAAATCGATTTGAAGCTTTCCGGCGCAACTATCATCGTGTTGACTGGGGTCAGTTCCAAAATTGCGTCGACACCGCTGTAGACTACGATGTCCAACCGGAATCGTCCGAAGATGTTGACCGGTGTCTGCGCTCCATCGATCAAGCAATTTCCCGGGCCAGGGAGCTACATGTGCCAGTATCCAGACAGGTGAGTAACACTCTGAACCTTGACAGGCCTACTAAAGACCTCATTAGACTCCGCAACACGATCCGTAGGCAGTACCAGCGTACTGGGCTGCCTAATCTGAAGACCAATTGCAACCGTTTGAACAAAATCATCCAAGCCAGGATGGTGAATCTCAGAAATATCGATTTTGCAAACAAGATTCGCTCTCTCCCAGATTGTGCTAAGCCATTCTGGAAAATGGCAAAGGTTTTGAAAAATAAGCCGAGGCCCATTCCTCCCCTTTCCTCTCCTAACCAAAATTCGGACCCATCTTTACTAATAACCCCATTTGAAAAGGCCAATGCTCTTGGACAACACTTTGTAAATTCACATAACCTTGGCCACGCCATGGTGAGTCCCCACGAGCCTGCAGTATCACAGGCAATGGCTAGTGTCGCTGCCACCCCCGTAGTTGTCCCTGACGAAAGTAGAATATCGGCTGATGAGGTGATAGCAGCGATTAAATCAACAAAGAACATGAAGGCCGCTGGTGTCGATGGAGTGGTCAACCTCGAGCTGAAAAACTTGAGTGTTGACTTCTTCAAGCACCTTGCAGTGGTCTTCAACAAGTGTTTAATGCTTGGCTACTTCCCTGCATGCTGGAAGTTAGCCAAAGTTATTCCAATTCACAAACCTGGCAAAGACCCTACCAGTGCCAAAAGCTATCGCCCCATCAGCCTCTTGTCCTCCATCTCGAAGCTATTCGAAAAATTGATACTCAGCCGTCTGCTGGTGTTTTCAAATGATAATAACATCTTTCTCAAAGAGCAATTCGGGTTTAGGAAAGGCCACTCTACCATCCACCAACTCGCACGGGTTACTAACATCATCAAGCGGAACAAGTCCGTTTCCAATACATCTGCCATGGCATTGTTGGACGTCGAGAAGGCGTTCGACAATGTCTGGCATGATGGTCTAGTGTACAAGCTGCATCGATACAACTTTCCGAACTACCTCGTGAAGATCATCAAAAACTACTTGTCGGGCAGATCATTCCAGGTCTACTTGAACAATGTCTCCTCTGATACGTTCAACGTTGATGCAGGGGTCCCTCAAGGTAGCCTGCTTGGGCCTATCCTATTCAACATTTTCACGTCAGACGTTCCTCCCCTGCCGGGTGGTGGTATCCTTTCAATGTTCGCAGTGTTACGTTTAGTTTTGGGTAGTAGCAATTCGCTTATAAGCATTTGGGGTATGACAT